TTTGTTAGGGTTCTTGTGATTTTGCATTAGCTATTGCATTCAAGAAAGTTGTGCACAATTCATTCCATGAGTCAGAATCCAATTATTTTACATTAGTTTCATTCTTTTACTCAAGAGAGATCCATAAATTGTCTTTAATCACTTTTTAATTTTAAATCAATAGTGTCTTCCAAGTGGGCCACATTCCCCATTTAAATATTGCCTCCTATAATTGGTATAATTACTTCATGAAAAGGTAAACCACAGTACGGGTCCCAGTCTCTGGGCTGATGAAATCTAATTATGTTCACAGTACAATATTTTATTCTCAGTGATCTTAAAAAAACATAAACTTGAACAAAGCCCAGACATTTATGATAAAGCAACCGAAGAGAAGCAAGTTAATTATTGCATTTAGCACTGCCTCTACTAGCAGCCTCTGAGAGAAAGCCCCTTTCTACAAAGTCATTAAGGGTGTAGGAAGGCTTGGGGGAGTTCTGGTTCCTTGTGGCTGAGGTGGAGAGTGAGGTTCAGTCTCAGGGTGCAGACTTTTCAACGCCGGACCAGCACCCAGGTCACCTGATACAGATGAGAGGCCCTCTCCCTCCTTCCCCCTCCCCAAGATTTTCATGCTGCTTCAGAGACAGGTGCCCCCCCCCCCCCCCCCCCCCGGGACAGGGGCCGGGAGAGGCAGAGGGCACAGATAGGGCCTCCAGTGTCTGTTTCAATAGGAGATTTTCTCTCATCCATTTTATATTTTGCGATTCTGCAACAGATTGCCTTTGGAGAAAGGGGATCAACTGCTAAATTTGTTTCTGAAAGCCTTTGTTCTATTCCAGAGTCTCGTGCCCTCTCCATATAAGGAGGACTAAAAATATAAGAAGCAGAGAACGAACCTGGAGGGCCAAGCAGCCGCCCACGTGCCTGAGAACCACATCCTAAAATGCACAAGCCTGTGCTAAATCGGCTTAAAAATAAATCCTAAGTGTAAAAAAGAAGTCAAAACGCACACCCACATGAACCGAGAAAACACCCGCAACTGCCCTTCCCTTGTGGCTGCTGCTGTCGTCTCTGTGTGAGGAAAGGGAGCAGAGGGCGAGAAAGATGCTAGGACGGGAGAAGCTGGGTCTTCCTCCATCTAGTGTTGTCCAGAACCCTGGCGCTCGACTTTACTTCAGCACTCCTACGCACCCTCGGAATGGCACCTCAAGAGGTGTTTTTTTTCTCTCTGCTTCCTTCCCCTTAATCCACACCAATAAGCAGGACATACCCACTTAGGAATGAACTGCTTACAAAACTCGAGAGACTCAGACAAAGAAAGCTAATGACAGGTCCAAGAGCTAGATGGAAAGACAAAGAGATACACACTTGTCAGAATCCACAGGACATTTGGGCTTAAGAAGGGGAAGGTGGGAGGCAGCATGGGCTGCGGGGGGTGGGGGAGAGGACACGGTGCATGGTACGGGAGTGAAAGAATCAAGACATTGGCCACTCAGTGATTTTTCTGTAGAAGGGACTTGTCAGTGGCAAGCTGATTCTCACATGCGGGCTCCTACCAGAGATTCAGATGGCAACGCCAGTGCCCCTTCCCAGGAGAAATCTCTTTTGACCACTCCGTGCAGTGTGCCCACCAAGTCACTTTCCACCACATTTTTTCATTTTACCTCTCTACACAGCTCTTACCATTACCTGGCACTTTTATTCTATATTTTTTCTGCCTCTCTCCATTCCCAACCATTGCCCCTATCCCCGCTAAAATGTAAGCTCCTCGAGGGCAGTGACTTGTCATTTTCTGTCTGTCTCTTGCCCCTGGAACATAAGCCCCAAAGCTGCAGATATTGGCTGGTTTTGTTAACAGCCGTGTCCTCAAAGTGCCTTGCACGTAGTAGGGGTAGTCAATGGTTCGGTGAATCCTCGTTGAATAAAAGCATTATGGAAAGAAAACCCCTGCCTTGTTACCATGGTTGCACTGTGATCAAGCAGTGGAAATTTCTCCCATGGGTTGGGGCAACTGCTGGTACATCACCCACTGCAGGGTCTAGTCCATCGGGACCAACATGAGCTAGTGGCGAAGAGGGAATATGGAGGCCTTCTCTGTGCTGAACAGTGATGTGTATAGGGGGAAGACACCCCAGAATGAGGAAGGGGCAGGGGGCAAGGCTCCGAGGGAGGTGCTCGTGGCAGGAGGTGCGTCTGCAGGAGCTCAGGTAACGCTGTCATCCTTCAAGCTTGACCAAGGCTTGTTTGATACGGGACCGATCACATTTATGAGATGTACCGTGAAAATATTCTTCGCATGTTACCAAATGTCTTCATCAGGTTAGTAAGTATCAAAGATCTATCTTAGTCTTTTGTGATTTCTGCTCAAATGCTACCTCCTTCTGTGTTTTGTTGTGATTCTTCCTCTGGAGAAGCATAAAGTGAAGGCAAATGATAATGGACAAGTCAAGATATTTAAGATCAGCGTGTCATGAGGGATTTAAAACACATTCCTTTCATAATATGCAAAGTATAACAAATATACACATATTTTAGGATAAACAGAATAGACTTTCACAGCCAGGCGGATGTTTACACTGTGAATAGTAATGCTCCTTTCTGAGCAAAATGATTTTAGTAAATGATAAGATGTAAGACAAAGGGGGTTGTCAGTGCAAAAAATATAAATTCTGATGAATTACTTATATGCTGGACATCAGATAGTCTTCATAGACTGAATGACCATAAGATTTATGGTCCAAATGGGATACTTCTGAGAGTGAATGAGACACTCACTGGTTATAGTTAACATTGGAACAATACACAAAAACCAGGGCAAACTGCACTATGTGGTCACCGTCATTATAGGGATACATAATGGCAATGGAGCTACTTTTAGATTCTTTTAACTAAAAAAGGTTAAACAAAATATCTTGTTCATGCGCTAAGCAAATTGTAGGTAACGGGTTCTTTTTTGGCTAACTGCTTGATTTGTTATAATAAAGCTAAATGGCTAAATCTGAGTGTATCAGCCATAAAATAGAATGTAGCGGTGTCTTTTGCAGCAACTTGGATGGAACTGGAGACCGTCATCCTAAGTGAACCAACACAGAAACAGAAAACCAGTGTCTCACGTTCTCACTTGTAAGTGGAACTAAGGGTCTGCAAAGGCACAGAGAACAGTGTCATGGACATTAGAGACACAGAAGGGGGAGGAGGGCAAGGAGGAGAGGGGTGAAGTCGCCTGTCGGGCACAGTGTGCGCAGGTGGGGCGGTGGGTGCACTAAAGCCCCGACTTCTTTGCCACTGTACAATGCAGCCATGTAGCCAAAACTATTTGTACCCTCTAAAGCGATTGAAATAAAAAAATTAAAGTATTTAGGCATAAAAAATAAAATAAACCTGAGCATAAATTATTATTGTTGAGAAAGAGAAACTCAGTGGGCAATCTCCCTGTTTTCAATTGTTCTGATCATCAGAAATAATGTGCCCTTGGCCACAAAAATCAGTCTGAACAGGGAAATATACTGGGTACCATTTCTCCACTTAAAATACGCATTTCCCATTTTAAGATCAACTTCACTTTCCAATATTGATCTGACTGGCAGATAGATTGCATCGTCTGTCCCTGTCCTTACCGACTACGGCCATCAGAAGTCCTGGTTGAGGGGATTTTGAGGCCACCACAGAGCTCAATGAGAGGCCACCGCTCTGATTTTGAAGACAACGGCCTCGGGTTTTCCGCACATTGCTGTTTTGCAGCTCTCCTAGTCCAAGATCACACGGAGGAGAGATAAAATCCCTGCTACATGAGTGGAAACTAGTGGAAAAAAATAATATAGCAAACGGGCAAATTAACTGCTCCTTTGTTTCTATTCTTCACTCATTTTGTTGTTTGGGGCTATATTTTTATCTACTCAGGATCATTCTATGTGATAAAATAAAAACCAGACTCGCCCCTTCTTTGCAAGCAGATATTCATGTTTCAATCTTAAAGAATTGTTTTCTTTAATAAAACATTTATTTTACTACCACATATTTTATACTATTTATTCCTTTCATTATACAACAAAGACAGCTATTCTGCATCTTTCAACGAGGGAGAAAAAAGGAAGTAGTTGATACCTTATTAAAAATACAGGCAGGATCCCTAATAATGCTGTGTGTGTGTGACCATGAATCATCTTTGGATCTTAATTCTCTAAGTGTGGGGCTCCTGGGATTCTCATATGTTGCTGGTAGGAGTGCAAATAGTTGGGGAAAAAAACTGGTAGAACTTAAATATATGCTTATCTTTTTTTCTTTCTGGAGTGTAGTGGCACACTCACAGCCACCCCAGCGTCAACCTGCTGGGCTCGGACAATCCTTCCGCCTCAGCCTTCCAAGTAGCTGGAACTACAGGAGCCGGCTACCACACCCTGCTCTTTTTTTTTTTTTTTTTTTTTGAGTTGGAGTCTCACTCTGTCATCCAGACTGGAGTACAGAGGCCGCTCCCAGCCACTGCAGCCTCAACCTGCTGGGCTCCGGCGATCCTTCCACCTCAGCCTTCCGAGTAGCCGGAACTACAGGCGCGTGCTACCACGCCCGGATAATTTTTTGATTTATTGTAGAGATGAGGTCTCGCTGCCCAGGCAGGTCTCGAACCCGCGGGCTCAGATAATCCACTCACCTCAGCCTCCCAAAGGCGCGGGATTACAGGCTGAGCCACCGAGCCCGGCCTGCTCATTTTTGATGTATTGTAGAAACAAGGTCTCCCAAGTTGCCCGGGCTGGTCTCGAACCCACGGTCTCAGGCTATCCACATGCCTCAGCCTCCCAAAGTGCTGGGATGACAGGCTGAGCCACCAGACCCGGCCTATGCTTATCTTAAGGCCTAGCAATTCCACTCCTAGGTATTTACCCAAGAGAAGTAAAAATATGTGTCCACATGAAGATGTATACATGGATTTTTTTAAAATGAGGCAGAATTCCATTTTTGTTGAGGGCAAGACCCAGCTTCCCATGGCAAGGCAGCGTTCCTGTATTGGTTTTGACCACATAGCTCTACTTTTCCAAGAGTGAAATGCTATTGAAGTGGCTTTCCAAAAAATTTTGGGGAAAGTAAGAATTAATAGATGGCAGTTCCTCATCCATGCTTCCCAAACAGGACACGAATTCATCAGGCAGCAGGGTCTGTTCCGGAATAGTTTCATTCTGGGAGTTGTTTTCCACAAGCATGGTGGCTTCTGCCTCCACTGAGTTTTGAATGCCAGGAGGACTATCTTCTTCTTGATTTAAAATGAGGCTGAACTCTTCAAGAAATAGTGTGTTGCTTGGTGGATTCATACCGGAGACAGAGAAAGCAAAATTAGTATACTTTTTCAACCTGAGATTCTTTCCCAGGTCAAAGGAATCCGCTAGTGGCTTAAGGGTCGAGGAAACTATGTCATCATCATTGCTGAGATGGTCTCCCTCAGGGAGGAAACGTGACCCCTGGGGCTTATACCCAGTGTTGAGATCAGGAATATACACGACTGTAGTGTCGACGCAGAGTGACTTCTGCACAGAGTCACTTGTCTGCAGGGATCCTGGATTCTCCTTGTGGTCAGTGGGCTTCGGTTCTGGGAGGAGAATTTCTGTTATCTCTGTAATCATCGGATCAACATAGAGGACCCGTTCACTGGAATTATTATTCACAAGTTCACTTTTTTCCTAGAAAAAAAAAAAAGATTGCTTTATTTTACAAAAGGCATTCAAAGGGGCCAATAGAATTTGAATTGTAGTCTCACTCTGTTGCCCAGGCTGGAGTGCGTTGTCATGGTCCTGGCCAATGTAGCCTCAACCTGCCAGGCTCAGGCAAATCCTTGTGCCTCAGCCATTCCAGATAATTGAATAGGCACTAGAATTTTGCTTTCTCTCAACTTTTCCTTTCCCACTTTTTTTTTTTTTTTTTGGAGTTGGAGTCTCACTCTGTCGCCCAGTCTGGAGGGCAGTGGCACGCTCACAGCCACCGCAGCCTCGACCTGTTGGGCTCCAGTGATCCTTCTGCCTCAGCCTTCCAAGTAGCTGGAGCTACAGGTGCAGGCCACTATGCCCAGCTGTTTTTTTTTTTTTTTATTGTAGAGATGAGGTTTCGCCAAGTTGCCCAGGTTATTTTCAAATCACAGGTTCAGGCAATTCGCTCCCTAGGCCTCCCAATGTGCTAGGATTACAGGTTTGAGCCACCACGCCTGGCCTTCTCACATTCTTTATCTTTCCATATGGTCTCCTTCTTTTGTTATCAGCTCACTTTCTAATCTTTATTAAATTCTCTCATGAGGAGACTGAAGTAAAGGAATAATACAAATAATTTGGGATTTTGTTTGTTTGTTTTTAATTGAGTTAGGATCTCATTCTGTCAGTCAGGCTAGAGTGCAGTGACATGATCACAGCTCACCACAGCTTTGACCTCCTAGACTCAGGTGGTCCTCCCATCTCAACTTCCTGAGTAGCTAGAACTACAGGTGCACACCACCATACCCAGCTAATTGATATTTTTTGTGAATATTATTTTCACTACATTTCTTAGGCTGGTCTTGAACTTCTGGGCTCAAGAAATCCTCTCACCTCAGCCTCTCAAAGTCCTGGGATCACAGGTGTGAGCCACCACACCTAGCAATAATTCACGTCTTAAGCACATTTCTTGGTTTAAAAGTTGTAAAGAGAAAAGATGAGTCTTGCATATTAACTTGCATATTTGTCTTTTAAAAGTTGGTCTTTGGGATCAGGCTTGGTGACTTAAGCCTATAATCCCAGGACTTTGGGAGACTGAGGTGAGAGAATTTCCTGGGTCCAAGGGTTTGAGACCAGCCTGGGCAACATGGTGAGACTTTGTCTCTACAATAAATCAAAAAAATTAGCTGGGTGTGGTAGCATGTGCTAGTAGTTCTGGTTACTTGGAAGGCTGAGGCAGAAGGATTTGCCTGAGCCTGGCAGGTTGAGGCTGCATTGGCCGGGACCATGACAGCGCACTCCAGCCTGGGCAACAGAGTGAGACTCTAATTCAAAAAAATAAAATAAAATAAAAGTTGGTTTTTGGAAGATGTTGGAATATTTCTTAATATTATGGAGCCTTATCACTAGAAAATACTTTTTTGCTTAAATTTAAAAAAAAGAGTGGAGAAGAATCCTATTTTACCTACATAACGAGAATGAGGTTGTGCTAAGTGCTGGGTATACACCTACTCACCATGCAGACATGTTTGCAATGATCAGGAAGGCAGATGAAGGTTTTAGTTTGATGGCTTTTCCAGACAAGAAATGGACTTGAGACTTCCAGCTGATGACTGACATCCCAGGGCAAATAACTCTCACCCAACATAATTATTGTAAAATCATAACCACCTGTTATGGACTGAATGTTTGTTCTCCCACCCACCATTTGGATGTTGCAGCCAGTGCCATGCTATTTAGAGGTAGGGCTTGTGGGAGGTAACTGGGTCTTGAGGGAGGAGCCCTCCTGAATGAGACCAGTGAAGAAGAGACAGGAGAGAGCTGATTCCTCTCTCTGCCACATGAGAAGGCAGCTGTCCGCAAGAGAAGCCTCATCAGGAACTGAGTTGGCTGGCTCCTTGGTTTTGGACTTCCCAGCCCCCAGAACTGTGAGAAAAAAATGTTTGTTGTTTAGCCCACTCTGCCTTTGGTATCCTGGCACAGCAGCTCAAGCAGCCTAAGATGCCATTCCTTAGTGTCTTGGGCAGACGACAAAACCTTATCTGAAGGAAGCCCTAAGATTCCCCTCCAATTCTGGGAGCCCGGAATAGGAAGGGAGTTTGACAGAGAGGAGGATCTTGAATTAAGCAGCGTGAATTGTCATTCCAACTCTCTCCAGGCCCAGCCTCCCCGGGGAACTTGCCAGGTTTGGGCAAGACCAGCATGTTGGGTGTCACTTCATGAAAGAGCTTGACATGAGGAGCGGGTGGAGTGACACCGGAATGGTGAGAGGGATCAGATCACAGACAGTCTTGTGTTAGGGAACTCACGGTTCTGCTGACCAGTGATTTTCAAACCTGATTTTTTTTAGCCTAGCCCTTTGTTCAAATAATATGAAATTGGGGAGAGTTGATTAGCGGGCTTGCCAGAGCCTCCAACAGCACCACTTCTGTTTGTTTCCTACCCAGCATGCTGTTCTCACACCGTGCCTTTGCTCCTGCTGTCCCCTCGACTTTGAATGCTCTGTCTCCTGAGCAACTCCACACTTCAGCCTGTTTCCTCGCTACCCCATCACGTGCTTGGGTTCATTGCTGTCATTGCACTGATGTCTCTGCACCGCAGTGTTTAGATGAAACGTCCGTCCCTCCGACTGGGTTTTGAGCCCCTGTCAGCCAAGCCCGAGGGCCAGAAAGTAGCAGGAATGCACAGGGCTGACTTTCCCCTTCTTCATAGCCAGCAAAGTCTCCTATGTCCTTGAGTCTTCACGGTACGTTCCCTTGTCTTTGCCAGATGGAAGCCTGACCCGCCCTGGGGACACCATCTTTCACAGACTTCTCAAGCTGTCTCTCATGCTGTTGTGTCTACAGAGGGAAGTGGTGCCCTCCTGGGCCTCCACATGCGTCTCCAGCTCATAGAAACCAGAGCCCCTCGGTGTCCTGGAGGCTTGTCCCATTGTTCTTTTCTCTCCTCCCCTCTTTGTCCCTAAAGATGACTACCCATTGCTTGGTCATCAGGTGGCTCTTGCACCTGGCCCACAAGTCTTCCCCTCTGTTTTTCTCTTTTTAATAGCACTGTTTCCTTCTTCTCTGTCTTCTTCCCCAACTCCATTCTCTTACCTCTTTTAAGCAGGGTTTGAAAGAAGGACAATATTGTTTTTACATGTGCATATACAACAGTGTTAATATGTATACACATTTATTTGAATGGAAATTCTATTCTAATGTTAGTCTGCACCCCTGGTCTCAGCTGACACTCAGTTTTTGTTTAACTGTCTTTGGTTACCTGTAGCATCTTCACAACATGACTGTTTCCCATATTAGGAATGTCTTCATAAAGCCACTTTGGTATTAGCAGTAAGATTCTTCTTTTAATTCTGAAAACAAAATGACATGTTAGAAGAAGCACATTACTTTAGGATGGGTGCAGGCAATCATGTAGGAGATTAGGAAGTCAAGTAGAATAGAATGCAGAAACAAAATAAAGCTTCCCGATGTAGGAGCTGAGGTTTCATCTCCTACTTACAGAAAGTAAAATGGAAAATCGATTCAATATCTGTTCAGATTTCCTTCTTTTCTCTACTGCTTTTCTTCTTTCTAATGAGCAGGAATATTTCAAAACACTCACACTAGATTCAAGATAAGTAGGAGAACCACCCTGGCAGTGAAACTGGGAACATGTTTTTTAAAAAAGCCAGCCATTATAAGCAGAAGATGTCAGTGTGGGAAAGTCTGAACAACTTAAGGGGTATTTTATAAAACTTTCCAAGATGACCGTAACTACAGAATATTAAATAAAAGAATGTTACATAGTGAAACCCCACAATTTAAGCTCCTCTAATTCTGGATTTTGTAATTATTCCCAGTAGGGTCACAATGACAGTGGCGGTTCCAGACTTTCTCTGTGTGGATAGAGAAAGAGGCTGGAGACCTTGCCGTGCGGTTGTGTGGCACAGTGAAAACTGGCGTCACTCAGGCTGTGGGCTTATTGAGGACCACTGGAGTGAGGCCGTGGAAGGAAGAGCCAAGAACACCCACTTTCTGCCCCAAACTACCTGTTAGCACTGCCGTTGTGTTGGAAAATACTTTCTGCATTGACAGTACAAATTGTTCTGGGCGGATAGGATGTACCAAGAAAGTAGAGGAGTTACACTCAGCTCAGGCATATTTTTACATGGTAACGACAGGCCTGTTAACAACAGAGCAGGGTTTATTTGTTTAAACGGGTTCTCTAAGGACTTTTACTGAGGAACAATCAAAATGGCTGAGTAAACTTTGGTGGCCCATTTTAATCTTGGACTTCAGGGTAAAAATAATTCCTTTACACATATTTATACAGTATTTTATAATTCAGTCTTTGTTTACTAATTCACACTCTATGTTTAAAAGTAGCAAATTCATGCTGTTGGAGTAAAGTTTTGCTACAGCATGCTGATACAGGGCAAGCATATTCATAGATATTTATTTGCTCTTGGTTTCAGTATATTTAAGATGTTTGCCCTCTGTTGTTCAGTTCTGTGTCTGAGTAAGGTCTTATAAGTAATGGATAGTTATATTAAATAGCAGTATCTGCTCATATCTAAAATATATACTGGAATTATCTCTTGTTTTACCTTTTTTTAAAAATAAATTAGCAAAGAATTGCCCTTTTTCTTATTCATTGGTACCAACTGAAAGGTTTTTTTTTAGGTTATTCTTAGTTACAAACTTAAAATTTCACACTAACTAGGACATCTTTGGATAATAACACAAATATTAATATTTTTATGGGCTGTTAATTTGAACTTATGATATCTGAAGGGACTTTATAATCAAGTATATTTTAAAACAACCTAAAATAAAATCCCATGTTAGTTTGCTGACCTCAGGAGAGTATTAGGGTATGTTTATTAATGTGTAACTTTTAAGTTCTGGGGAAGAAGCCTATGAAGATAAGAAATCTTTAGTGCACTTAGAACAGCACATTTAAAATCTTTCTACAGCGTTTTGATTATAAATTGAAAGGAAAGATGATCTCATGGAGTAAGTGACAGCAAGTAACAGAAACTCAGGGCCAATTTGGCAAAGAACATTCCTGTGTGTCAAAATGTGAGCATAATTACACATACTGGGGGACTGCCCGAGCAAACAACCCCAGCCTATCCACAAATTAGAAATACCCAGGGCACCCCGCAAACTTAGAAAATCAAAGGCCTTGCTCCTCTCAAAGTCTCATGTTCAATACCTAGGCGCATTACTAATACCATTATTGGGGGAAACTGATCGAAGGAGGCCAAGAAGATGGGGCTTTGGGACTGGATGCTGAAGCACGACTGGTACCAAAGGGACAACACTCAAACACTGCCACACCTCACATGGATTCGAGCACATGTGTTTGGTTGGTATCCAAGGCAGGTTATGACTGAACCACCCTGAAAAATCCAGGCACTGCAGGTAAGTCTGAGGCACAATGGAAGAGGCTGTGTAGTAAAGGAGAGAGCATGGGTTTTGAACATCAGCTGGGTCTGGACTCGCGGCTTAGTGCTCAGGGACCTTCAGCTGAGAACTCAGCCTCTCTAAACCTTACTCAAGTCATCAGTAAAATAGGCCAGGAAGCTTTTTAGGCAGGGTCCTTTTGAGGATCAAATGAATGACATCTACAAAGAGCTTGGCACAGGGGGATACTCATTAAACATCATTCCTTTTATTTTCCTTTTCTGAATAAGCATGTTAACAGATTTTTCTAGTAAATAATTGAAGTCACTACATTTTCCTGATACATAGATATATATAGATGCATATATGTACATATAAACATATATGAGGGGGACCCAAAAAAAACCGGAATTATCTTTTGGAGGGCAGGCCCTTTGCAGCACAGGTTTCCCCTGCTAGGTATGTGATCTAGAGATTCACTGACTCAGTGAACCAGCTAGTGTTGTTGTGAGAGGCTGTCTTCAGCTTCAATGAAATTTTTTTTTTTTTTTTTGGAGATTCTTTCAACACATTTGTCCATTTCATGAGGGGTGATTTACGAGTTCACCTGCCCACCTCACGCTGAGTTTTTGACCGAAACGGCATGACCCCTGTGCTCTGCCTTCCCTTTTTACCCAGTCTCACTCTGAGTCACTTTTTTTGTTTCCCTGGAGGAAGAAAGTCCTCAAAGGGAAATGTTTTGCGGATGTGGAAGAGGTGAAACAAAAAACAACAGAAGTACTGAAAGGCATCAAAATCGAAGAGTTCAGAAATGGTTTTGAGCCGTGGAAAAAGTATCTCAATAGGTGTATTGCATCAAACAGAGAGTACTTGGAAGGCGACTGAAGTTTACACATGTAAGAATAAATATGCAATTTCTTACCAATAAATTCCATTTTTTGGAGGGACTCCCTTCATATACGATCTAAATTAGAAAACAGAAACTCTACAAAAACCTACCCAGCTCGGAGCGATCTGTTGAATATCCCAATCAAAGAAAGAATTGACAACATGACAGCAAAGATGACCATTCCCAATAAGAGTCCAATGTCTTCCCTGTTGTCTAATGAAAGGAAAGAAAAATTATTTTAACCAATCATGAGTGTTTGTGTGATGCCAGAATGACCTATCTCTCTCTTCTGCTCAAAGCAAAGGCCTCAGAGAAGGGGCTGGGGAAGCAAAACTAACCTTTGCGTGAGGCTGTGGAGTGATGGCCCCTCCAAACAGCACGACTGTCCCAGGAACCAACCTTCTGTTTGAGAAAATTGGGCTACATGTCTGATGTCAATGGGTTTCTAGAAATGTATCTCCAGCAAAAAATGTGGTCAGCTTATGCATGCAAATTTTATGTAGATACTCTGAGCGATGAGTCACATTTGGCTTGTCTGACACAGGTGAGAATCCTCAACCACATGTAACAGGGTCTAAAGTTGGCCACAATCACAATGGAGGTTTTTAGTTTCTTAGCCTTTGCGTGAGACGGAACATGTGCAACTCATGAATTTTTCATGCCTAGAACGGACCACCACTCTACACAGAACACGGTACAAGAGGGACCTGAAAAAACCCGGATTACCTTTGGGAGGCAGGCCCCTTGTAGTCCAGGCTTCCCCCACTAGGTAAGTATTCTAGGCACCCATCGGCATCAGGGGACCAGCGAGCATTGTGAGGGGCTGCGTTCGGCTTCAGGGAACTTTTGCTGGAGACTCGTTCAACACATTCGCCCATTTCATGATGAGGGATTTGCTAGCGCAGCTGCCCACACCATGCTGTGCTCAGCAGTTTTGACCAAAAAAGGCACGGTCTCCAGACCCCATCCTCCCTATTCACCCAATCTCGCTCCAAACCACATTTTTTTGTTGTTGTCATTGCCCTGGATTTAAAAAAAAGTCCTCAAAGGAAAACACTTTGCCGATGTGGAAGAAGTGAAACAAAAAACGGCAGGAGCACCAAAAGGCATCAAAATCGACGAGTTCAAAAACCGTTTTGAGCTGTAGACAAATTGTCTCGATAGACGTATTGCATCAGAGAGCCCTTTGAAAGGTGACAAGTTTAAATGTGGAAGAATAAATACACAATTTTTTATAAATAAATTCCAGGTTTTTTAGGTCCCCCTCGTATGTTAAAAGAAAAAAATAAAAATTGTCGTGTATCTTGCACTCGCACTTATTTTAGAAACAATGCTTTTCTTGCATTTTGAAGTTGAAATCTTTCAATCATTAACATAATTTATTCGGTATGTATTAGCCACCAGGCTCATTACATTTTCTCCCTGGTACATGAAAAATCTTCTTTTCTTTCTTTCTTTCTTCCTTCCTTCCTTCCTTCCTTTCTTTCTTTTTCTCCGCTCCCCCCGCCAACATTTCTTTCGTTTTTTGAGTTGGTATCTCACTCTGTTGCCCAGGCTGAAGTGTGCAGTGACACAGTCATGGCTCACTGCAGCCTTGACCTGCTGGGCTCAGGTGATCCTTCCAACTCAGTCTTCCGAATAGCTGGGGCTACAGGCGCATGCCACCATGCCTGGCTAATTTTATTTATTTATTGTAGAGATGAGGTTGCGCCAAGTTTCCCAGGCTGGTCTCAAACTCCTGAGCTCAGGCAGTCCTCTGGCCTTGGCCTCCCAAAATGCTGGGATTACAGGTGTGAGCCACTGCACCAGCCTGAGAGACTTCATTTTTAATATAGAAGATCATCGAGACACGACATCACGCTGGAATTTTTTCTAGAGTCTCGTGCTGAGGGTTGCCCTTCCTTCCATCCTCCTCCCTCCCTCCCTCCCTTCCATGTGTGTCTGTTGGATACTCACCATGTGGCAGACACTGCCTTTGCCCCACGCTGGCTATTCCCCATACCCTTGGGGGTCTCCAGGCCACCTGCCCCTCTCCCAAAACAGTCAGCGGGCAGGGGCCTGGAGCAGCTTTAACTCACTCCATAATCCCAATGGGACATGCAATTAATGCTTTCCTGAGGCGCTACTGCTCGGTATTTCAAGCAACTGACAGGGAGTGCTGGCTGCCACACCCTCTCGGTCGTTCGTTATGCCCAGAGGAGGACAGTCCCCAGATTAACATGATGCTGGACAAAGGGGTCTAAGGAATAGCACAGAGTGACCAAGAGCCTGGCCTGAGATACCCCGGTTCGAATTGAACCCATCTCTTATCAGCTCTGTGACCTTGGGGCATAAATTGAGTTGGAGTCTCACTCTGTCGCCCAGACTGGAGTGCAGTGGCCGCTCCCGGCCACCGCAGTCTCGACCTGCTGGGCTCCGGTGATCCTTCCGCTTCAGCCTTCCGAGTAGCCGGAATTACAGGCATGCGCTACCACGCCCGGCTGATTTTTTGATTTATTGTAGACATGAGGTCTCGCTGCCCAGGCGGGTCTCAAACCCGCGGGCTCAGGCAATCCACTCACCTCAGCCTCCCAAAGGTGCGGGATTCCAGGCTGAGCCACAGAGCCCGGCTTCTTGTTTCTTTATAACACTTCACTATCACCTGACTTTTCTTACTGGTTCTTTTTTTTTTTTTGACTTAGGATCTCACTCTGTCACCCAGGCTGGAGTGCAGTGACACAATCATAGCTCACCACAACCTCAACCTCCTGAGCTCAGGTGATTTTCCCACATCCACTTCTAAAGTAGCTGGGACTACAGGCACATGCCATCACACCGGGCTAATTCTTTTATTTTTTGTAGAGATGAGGTCTCACTATGTTGCCCTGGCTGGTCTTGATCTCCTGGGCTCAAGCAATCCTCCTGCCTCCACCTCCCAAAGTGCTGGGATTTATAGGTGTGAGTCATCACGCCCGGTCACTAATATTTTTTTTTAGAAAGGGGTTTTTGGGTCTTGAGTCTCAGCAACAATCGAAACGAATGAAATCAACCCAGGCTGGGCTGGGTGGCTCACGCCTATAATCCCAGCACTTTGGGAGGCTGAGGTGAGAGGATCGCCTGATCCCAGGGGTTCAAGACCAGCCTGGACAACTTGATGAGATTTCACCTCTACAATAGATCAAGAAAAATTAGCTGGGCCTGATGGCGCACACCTGTAGTTCTAGCTACTCGTAAGGCTGAAGTGGAAGGATCACCTGAGCCAGCAGGTAGAGGCTGCAGTGGCCGTGAACATGCCACTGCCCTCCATCCTGGGTGACAGAGTGAGACTCCAACTCAAAAAAAGAAAAAATAAAAAAAGAAAGCAACCCAAGGCAAAAGCTGGCAAAATTCACCTAAACCACTTCTTAAATACAATTTAAAGCAGATCTTTGTACCTTGTCAGTTATTTTTGTATGAAACACATGGAGCATATCTTATTATCCAGAAACGTATGCCTGACATATAATTTTTCAGTATAAAGGACTGAATTTCATTCCAGTATGAAGGATGATAGATTGCTAAAGACTACTCAGAAAGCCCAAGCAGCATTTTCTTACCAGAAGTAAGGTGTCCTTTAACAATGGAAGCAACTAGAAACCCAGAATTCTGAGTATCATGTTGGAATGAGTTCGGTGTGACCTGGGGAACTTAAGCAAACAGAAAAGAGTGTCAATTTCTTACTTTTTGCACTCAGGATGTCCAATTTCCTAAAACCGTCTCTTCCCTTGTTTAGAGTTGACTAAAGCAAACTGGAAACTTTATTAGGTTTGAAAGATGGAATAAAAACAAAGGCCTTTGAGTATCTTTTCTTCTTCTTAATTTTCTGGGTAAATCACAAAGGAAGAAACCTGCAAGGACAATTAAAAACTAGGGTTTGTCACACTTCAATGTGTGTCCACTAACTTCATGAAGCTTCTAGGCAGCAAATACCAAGGAGCTTTATTTCACTGAGCCAGAAAAATGCATGATCACAGGCCTCTGCCTGGTTCCTTCCAACAGATTGCATCCAGGTTTCCTTTAAGAGTTTCCAAGATGTGTCACTCTGCCTTTGCACACGCTTTGGGACGCTGTTCCTCTTCTCTTGGCACCCCATGTGAGGCCTAATTTTGATTAGCAGACACTTTGGGGTTGTAACCCAGGCTAGACTGTCATGAATGACTTTTCTCTGCTGGCAAGGATTCTGGCCGGCCCTGCCTAGTTAGAAGGGTTGTCAGGACGCTGCTAATGAAAGCTTCTGCCTGGGGTGAGGTGAGCAGCTTGACACCTACCTTGCTTTCAGCTTGAACTCAAAAGAATCCCGGTGCAGCCTTGCCCATCTCCTCCCTCCTGGTAATTAAAAACTGCCAGAGGTGACTCTAAGGACAAAATTCTCCCAGCTAACAGAGACATTTCTGAGGATGGTTTTAAACTCTTGTTCCCTAAGAGTGCCTCAAGCTGTATTTATTCAGTCATTCTTATTGCAGTGCTCAAGTTCTTCTTTTTAAAAATTTACGTATGGACATGTGTGGTGGCTCATGCCTGTAATCCCAGTGCCTTGGGAGGCCAAGACGAGAGGATTGCTTGGGGCCGGGAGTTCGAGACCAGCCTAGGCAACATAGTGAGACCCCCTTCTCTGCAGAAAACATTTCAAAAAATAAAAAAGTATACCCATTAAATTACCAGCAGCATTCTTCTCAGACCTGGAAACGATAATATGGGAATTCATATGGAAACATAAATGATTACAAATAGCCAAAACAATCCTCAGCAAAAAAAAAAAAGCAGGAGATATCACAGTCCCAGACTTTAACTTTATTATAAAGCTACAATAATCAAAACAGCATGGTATTGGTACAAGAACAGGCATATAGACTACTGGAACAGGATAGCGGTTCCAGAAGCAAAACCTCAATTTCTTTTTTTTTTTGTTGTTATCCAAATGCAAATTTATTTAGATTTGAAATCCTAAAGTAAAGTCTTTAGATAAATAATCTTCTAGTACTTTTTTAATTAAAAAAAAAACCTGGATGATGAAATCCTGCATATAGTCAAGTCTATGTGAAACGTAAGGCCAAACTGGAAAGTGGACATCTGAACATCACTTTATCTCCTCCCCTCCCCAAATGCAGGCTTCTCAGTCTATCAGCATTTCTGGTGAAAAGCAGCAATTCCTGTTTCCCTAGACACTTTTCAATAACAACAGCACAGGTATCTGAATTCACAATCCTGAAATTTCAGGATTTGGGAGCTTCTGGAACCATAACTTTAACTCAGCCTTCCATAACAGTCTTTTTACTTTCTATCACAGAACATGACACTGAAATAATAGCAATAAATTGCTTCAGTTTTTTCACTTCTGCAGAAGCTAAAGCAACTTCTCCAATATATAAAGGGGCTGGAAACTTAATTTCCTGGGAAAGCAATATGCAGCCTGGCCCAGGCATTTTAGTACCCAGGAGAGCTGAGATAAATCCATTGATCAAAACTCCATATACAATTGTCTTTCCAAACTTGGTGTGTTTTGCAAAGTCTTCATTTAAATGCAAAGGATTAGCCGGCTTGGTGGCTCAACCTGTAATCTCGCGCCTTTGGGAGGCTGAGGTGAGTGGATTGCCTGATCCCGTGGGTTCGAGACCCGCCTGGGCAGCGAGACCTCATCTCTACAATAAATCAAAAAATCAACCGGGCGTGGTAGCACATGCCTGTAATTCCAGCTACTTGAAAGGCTGAGGCGGAAGGATCGCCAGAGCCCAGCAGGTCGAGGCTGCGGTGGCCGGGAACGGCCACTGCACTCCAGTCTGGGCGACAGAGTGAGACTCCAACTCAAAATAAAATAAAATAAAATAAAATAATAAATGCAAAGGATTGACATCCCCTGTAAATTCTGAGAAGGTAGCCACATCCCTCTGCGTGAAGACCCTACTAAGTTCAGCTGGTCTCCAACTCTGATGTGCATATGCTCAAAGTGCTGCCAGATCAGCACTGGCTGGTTCAGGCAGACTCTCCTCTGAAGCCCACCCAACCAAAGGCGATGGCTGGAAACTATTGGGAACATCTTCACCACTTTCAAAGTTCAACAATAGGAGCTTCTGGCTTGCTTCAGGTTTCAAACATTCCTCCACTCTGAGGAGTATTTTTGGTGCCTTCGTGGTGTTTCTGAAATTGAAGACGACTCATTCAATCCAATGCTAGTTCCCTACTATTACCAGATAATGCAAGGAGAAATGGAGAAACCTGAATCACTCTGAAAGCACATTTTTTGCCTTTATAGGATCCTAATAGGGTCAAAGAGCTCCACAATTTGACAAGACCACTGCTACATATTCTCAAGATGGCTGACAAGTTCTTCTCTTCATAAGTTAGGACATCCAAAGGTAAGGCAGCATCAACCTCCCCAAACAGGTCTTTTAGGGCTGAAATAAGCAGCTGTTTAAACTGTGCAGCATTCAGTCCAACTCCACGATCTTGAAATTCTAGGCAGACTTTCATGTAGTGGTGCTCAGAAGGGTTTTTGTAAACTACTCTTTCATATGTGGCAGCTGGGGCAGGCATTATTTTCAATGCTGATCACACCTCGAGTCTGGCGCATGCAGCACGCTCAATGCATGGTCCCGTGGTCCTGTTCAGTCCTTGCAGTCACCTGCTGCGACCGAGATCACACGCCACACGGTATGGAGGTGTGTGGTCACTGCCCCCAAAACCTCAATTTCTAAACTAACTCATCTTCGACAAAACCTCTGCCACCAACCACTGGGGAAAGGAGGACCTATTCAGTAAATGGTGCTGGGAAAACTGGCTGACCACATGCAGAAGATTAAAACAAGACTCCTACCTGTCACCATACACAAAAGTCAACTCAAACTATAAGAACTTTAGAAAAATACAGGAGACACCCTTATGGAAATTGGAACTGGCAATCAATTCCTGATCAAAACCCCAAGTGCCCATGCCATAAGGGATAAGATAGACAGGTGGGACCTCATCAAACTGACAAGCTTCAGCAAAGCCAAAGAAACCATCAAGAGAGCAGGGAGACAGCCCGTAGAATGGGCAAAAAATGTTTGCCAACTGTATGTCTGACAAAGGCCTAGCATCTAGGATCTACAAGGGACTTAAACGTGCTGAAAACTAAAAAACAAACAGCCCCATGACAAATTGGGCAAAAGACATGAATAGACACTTCTCAAAAGAAGACATACGAGCAGCCAACAGATACATGAAAAAGTGCTCAGCCTCACTAATCATCGAAGAAATGCAAATTAAAACTACACTGTGATACCACCTAACTCCAATCAGGATGGCCATCATCAATAACTAAAAAAACAACAGATGCTGGAAAGGATGGGGGAGATGGGGAGGGAACGTTTCTGCACTGTTGGTGGGAGTGTAAACTAATACAACCTCTGTGGAAAACAGTGTGGCGATTCCGAAAAGATCGAAAAATCGACCTTCCATATGACCCCACAATCCACCTACTGGGGATTTACCCAGAAGAACTCAAATCACTCTATAAAAAAGATACCTGCACATGTATGTTTATTGCAGCATTGTTCACAGTAGTAAGAACATGGAACCAACCGTGCTGCCTATCAAAAGAGGACTGGGTTTACAAAATGGGATATACAGACTCAATGGACTATTACACAGCCATAAAGAAGGACAAAATTATGAACTCCATGCAACTTGGATGGACTAAAAGTCTATAATACTGAGTGATTTATCACAGAAACAAAGAACTGAGTATCACATGTTCTCACTCATAAGCAGACTTGAACAATTATCATAATACTATAAGAAAAGGACTGGCAGTAGCAGGAAACTGCAGGGGGCGGTGGTGAGGGAGGGGTGGTGAAGGAGGGAGGTGGGATTGGTTGTAGTGGGAATCTGCTGGGGGAGGGGAGCACACCTCATCAACAAGAGTACCTTCCTAATGAACATTTGTAATCCTAACCCTGAATTGTACCCCATATCCTTAAAATAAAAAATTAAAAGAGAAAAAAAGAAAAAATTATTAAAGAAAAAGATTGTCAGAAAATCCTGTTTACTTTTTTTTCTTTTTTCAAGTTGGAGTCTCACTCCGTTGCCCAGGCTGGAGTGCAATGGTATGCTCATGGCCACCCTACAAAAAAAAAAAAATATCCAAATAAAAAAATTTAGCTGGGTGTGGTGGCACACGCCTGTAGTCCCAGCTGCTTAGGAGGCTGAGGCAGAATGATTGCCCAGGAGGTCACACTTGTGTGTGTTGTGAGACATGATCATGCCACAGTACTCCAACTTGGGCAACAGAGTGAGACTCCAACTCTAAAAGAAAAAAAAAAAATGAAATAAGATCAGGCGTGATGGCTCACACCTGTAATCCTAACACTCTAGGAGGTGGAGGTGAGAGAGCTACCTGAGCCCAGGGGTTTCAGATTAGCCAGAGCAACTTGGCAAGCCCTCATCTCTACCATACATTTTTAAAAATTAGCCGGGCATGGTGGCATGGGCCTGTGCTTCCAGCTACTCGGAAGAATGAGGTAGAAAGAGCATCTGAGCTCAGCAGGTCAAGGCTGCAGTCGCTGTGAGTGTGCCACTGCATTCCAGCCTGGGAGACAGTGAGACTCCTACTCAAAAAACATCATAAAATAAAAGTTACTTTTGAAGGCAGAAATAAATCACAACTTGAGGCATCCCTAGTTGCCACCAAGATATCACAGGCTTGTGTAATGCGCAATGTGGCCCATGCAAGTTTCTTTGAGAAAAGGAGCACACATTTCCAAGGAAAGGGTTCTGTGGCTCTCTAGACATTTCTGGAAAAGGCTGAGCTAGGTGGGGGCATGGGCTTGATTGAAGGGTAGTTTCTTCCTTTTTTTGTGTGTGTTGGAGTCTCACTCCATCGCCCAGGCTGGAGGGCAATGGAACGCTCAAGGCCACTGCAGCCTCGAGCTGCTGGGCTCAGGTGATCCTTCTGCCTCAGCCTTTCAAGTAGCCGGAACTACAGGCGTGAGCCACCACACATGGCTAATTTTATTTATTTATTTATTGTAGAGACAAGGTCTCACCAAATTGCCCAGGCTGGTCTCGAACCCCTGGGCTCAGGCAATCCTCTTTCCTCGGCCTCCCAAAGTGCTGGGATTGCAGGCTGGAGCCACTGTGCCCGGCGAAGGGTGGTTTCTAAGAACAATGGCTAGGGGAATTTGGAAGATGGAAACACTGGAAAAGCCAAAAGTTATTTCCTGTGTTTTTATTCTGACTTCTCTCCAGCAAGAGGAAAATGTTTCACCGGGCATTGTGACAACTGGTAATTCTTTTTGGCTTCTCGGTGTTTCACTAAGTCTCCTTTGCTCCCTGAGTGTGTGGTTCCAGCAGACTCCAAGGGAAGAAGGTTGTGCCCTAATGGCCAACCGTCAGGTGTACCCAGCTAAAATGGTATTTGCATAGGCTGATGTTCACTCTCGGAGTGCCTGTAGTCCCAGGTTCTCGGGAGGCCGAGGTGGAAGGATTGCCCAAGCCCAGGAGGTCAAGGCTGCAGTGAGCCATGATTGTGCCACTGCACTCCAGTAGGGTGACAGAATGAGACTATCCACTCAAAGAAAAGCAACACAATTTCAGTATGGCAAAATCATAAGCTTACGGCATAGGTTGCTATAGTATTTTTGTTTTCACTTTCATTATTTTTAAATTAGTTTTTTAAAATTTAAAAGTAACACATGATGCTGCTGGCTTTTACTACAGGTTAATGTGATTCTGCTGTATAAACTACAGGCAGTTATTGACAAAGAAACTTTGTTCAGTTATTAATTTGCATCACATAGAAATAATTTTTATATCTGACTAGAGATTTGTAGCCCTAATAGAGAATAAATACAATCTTTCTTTAGAGTCTATTTGTTATCATAGTTTTAAATCAAGCAGGTACATTCATTTAAATTAGATTAAAGTTGCTTTTAAGCTTAATTATCAGAGAATTAAGCTTAAAATTATCAGAGAAATTTCACAAACAATCAGCTCTCTGAAGTAAGATCATTTATAAGCAAGACAGTCAGAAGAAATCTAGTCAATGGCAACTTTTTTTCTGAGGTGGAGTCTCACTCTGCTACCCAGCTGGAGAGCAGTGGCACGCTCACGGACACCGCAGCCTCGACCTGCTGGGCTCAGGTGATCCTTCTGCCTCAGCCTTCCAAGTAGCTGGAACTACAGGCATGTGCCACCATGCCTGGCTAATTTTTCTTGATTTATTGTAGAGATGAAGTCTCACCAAGTTGATCAGATTGGTCTCGAACCCCTGGGGACAAAATTTTTAAGCACAGGACAGCAAGGAAGCCTTTTAGCTTATATTTATACTGCCACCTAGTGGCGAGGTCATTTCTTTTAAAATCATACTTAACTTTTTTCATTATAAAACCAAGAATTAGTATAGAGAAAAATGTTTAGCAGGAAAAATAAGAAAGAGAAAAATAGAACCATTCTTAGCCCCATCCCTTTAATCCACCTGCTATTGGTGTTTTCTAGTTTTTCAAATATTTTAACATACAAAAGCATTCACAAACACAGAATGATGCTCACATACAGAGTCTTTATGCCTGAAAACCATGGTTTATATCAGCTCGAATTATCCATGTCTTGCTTAATGTACTCAGAAAACCTCACGATATTTTCATTATTTTTTCAGTGTCTGCAGTGTTAGGGATACAATGGGTTGTCCCTGCAACAGACTATTCAATGATGCTGATTACTCTCACGGGACATACTTGAATATACTCAAAAAACCCAAATCATCTTTAATTTGGGAAGAATTTTTACGTGATTCAGACACACTGACATTGAACTTTAGAATTAGTCTTACAGAAAACAATATGTCTATAGGGAACTTAGGGTGGTTTCGAACAAGAAATGTAGTTTCTTATTCTTGGCCAAAACTTAAAGCATAATAAAAGCACATTCTCTAGCCCACCGAAATACCAGGCTAAATTAATCCACTCTTCTCAAAAAGACCTGGTTTTGGTAATAATGTATTCCATCTGTTTCTTAAGGCCGCCAAGTCATCTCCTCAGCCCTTCTCTCTGCAGTTACCATGGGACAAAGTATGCTTGTTACTCTGTTTAAGCGATCATTTCATGAGTATTCATTATGCTGAAGGTAACATACTCGACTCTACATGCTTTCCATCATGTAATCCTCGCCACAAGCCAGGCATGTGGAAAACGCTCTTGTCCTCATTATGTGGATGAGGAAACAAAACGTAGAAAGGTTGAGTAACTTGCTCAAAGTCACCTAGATGGAGGCTGAAGGGTGGAAACTCCCACCCAGTCCCGGCCCGCAGTCTGTGCTGGTCACGGGCCCCATCAGTCAGTCACTTTACTTCCACAGCTGACGGCTCAGCGTGGGGCAGTGCAGGCAGGCCTACGAGAGGCCTTTCCCATGATGACACCTGGCATTGCTTCTCTGGGGGCTGCTCTCACAGGACTCCAGAGCCCACCATAGGGGACTGTGATAGGGCTGACCCATTAGCACAGATTCTTGGAATCTTCCAACCTAGAGTTATTTTATTCTTAAAACCAACTATTTTTGAGCTAGGTGTGATTGCTCCTGCCTAGAATCCCAGCTGTTTGGGAGGTTGAGCGGTATTATTCGGCCAAAGTGTATAGACAGCTATACCTTTGATTACTTGAGGCCAAGAGTTCAAGACCAGC